ATGAATGCACAAAACAAAGTAATTCTTCCATCAATTCAAAATAGTAATGATACCTGTAACTTGGATGTCAGTAGGTGGGTATGTATGCACTCAATGAAGTGGAAAGCAACTTCATCGAAGTTTTTCACAGGCCTGGAACAAATTCAAGGCATGTACTATTGATTTTAGTATGAGTGGTCATTAGGCAGTATGAACAAAGCATCATACAAAACAATCATACATTCATAAAAAATATGATAAACAAAAGCATCCAAAAAGAGTACTACTAGTCTGCATCAATCATGCAGTAAATCAACAATAACAGAATGCTTGCCTTACAGAAAAATTACAACCAAAACTGATGAATGAAAAAATATTTGACAAAAACTTTTACTCAGTTATCCAAAATTAAATTCAATACATTTTCTTAGAACAGTTGTCCAAAATTTAGCATCTTTGATTACGCACAAAGGCCTCGTGTGTTAAAATTGACGTGGATAGGACTATTCACTACATTGAAGGCATTTTGAAGGAAGAAATGGATGACAACTTCCATATTTTGTTCAAGTTACTCATGAAGAAAAGTTCTCCCTTTTAATCCTATACCATTTTTGTGGGAATAAGTAGGGATATCTTTTCTTCATGAGTAACCTTCAACTTAGATAAAAATATGAAAGTTGTCATCCATTTCTTCCTTTAGATTAGTGAACCTCACTTACAAACACGGCCAAAGACTTCAACATAACTTAGAGGACAAGGGGAATCTCCCAAAAAGTTAAGAAATTTTAGAGCCAGATCAAAATCTCTGTAGTTACAAGACATCTCCACTATTACAAATCCATCATTATCTTGCTTCAAACTTATAAGATGCAATGTTGGTATGTGTTTACATGCACAGTGCACCTGTGCGTATACAATGTACAAATACTAATATGTGACAAGTCCTCCTGTTATCATACTACTACAATTGAAAATCCAAATTAGCCATATGATGCATTGGCGCAACGAGATCTACAGGCACTCAGAGTTATACAAAAAAGAAAGTTTTCTATAACCATACCTCACAGAGAAGGCAACTATCTGTCGAACACCTTGAAAGACTTTCAAGTGTCCATTAACACGAACATACATTCCATCTCTGTTGCAAAATAAATCAAGACTTATATTATAAGAACGTCACAATGTTTTGGTCACTCAACAATCCAGATATCTATATAAGGTGTCAAAATTTCAATGAAGAACTCACTGATGATAGGGAGAGAAACTTACTCTATTTCCTGCATTTCTCTGGAGTCAAAATTCTCATTCACCCTGTTAAGAAACAGAGTGATCCAAAACTTAAAACATTTCAGGTATATATCCATTTTTAGCTTAAGTTGCTAGATTGTGCATTGCTTGGAACACCAAAACGCAATAATCTCTTCAAAACAGTTAACAATGTGATAATATAAACTCAGTCAAACAGGGCAACGCAAAAAATTACCATCTTCTGCACTTGATTCGCCCTGTTCCGTCATCCACAGTGAAATCAACATCAGTGTTCCTTTCGGCTTTGTCAAAAACCATCCCAACCACCGATACCTAAACCAACCAAATATCATATTAACTGAAACATTCCAAAAATCTCTCTTTTTGCCATTAAATTGATTGTTATGAGAGACAAACAATAAAATCCTGATGAAACTAAAAACGGTGCATACATACATTAGCAACATCTGCCCCGCTGATCACAAAGTTCGATTTTTCGTCACCGGACTGATAGGCTTCGCTAACCTGCTTCACCGTCACCGGAACCAATCCGTGAGTTTCGCGTCTCTGAAACAACAATTACAACAAAAATACTTCCAAAATCAATCAAACAACAAAAATCAAAGGCAACAATTGAGATGAAAGTGAGCAAACACCGACTTCGCCGAAACCCTAAATCGGATTTTAACAAAACTCAAGCAAAATAACCTTCAAACACATAATTAATTAAATATATACTCTGATTTTTTCATTTTTTCACAGTTATTGAAGGGAAACGTTACCTTGGCCGGAGAGGGAGTGGAATCGCCGAATTGAGTGGACTGAGAAGCCATGAAACCGCCGCCGGAGAAGGCGTTCGTGGCATCGAATTGGGAGCCTGAGAACATCTTTGAAACCCTTGGAGAGAGAAAACGATCTGGGAAATGAAAGAGAGGAAGTGGAAGCGGCGGTATGAGATGAACTGATGCTTTTATATGAGAACTTTAGGAAGGCGAGTATTCTTCCCGCCAATCTTGTTTAACTTTTTTATTTTCCCGCTAAATCTTCATCTTCTTCGTATCGGAAAGAAGACACGGCTTTCACGGGCCAAATCGAATCCGTCTTTATTCAATGATAGGTAACACTGAAAAAAAATTATTATTTACAAGTAGTATGTCATTATACACTCATCAATTGTTTATTTTCTAAACTAGCAAAATATGTATCAAATTTTTTCGGAAGCCAAATAACTGCTTTTTAGGATAATTATCAACGCTATTATTTGTAAACAAATAAAAATAATCATCCATAAGAACAATTCCAATAGTGGGCTAAATGCTAAATTTTCCCCCAAATTCCCCCCCCCCCTTATGCGAGTGGACTTGCTAGCAATTAGGCCAGTCTCGGCCCATCCATGCTCCAACGTGCCCCACGAGTGCGCCTACAAGGGTTTCTCGACATGGTGGGCCCCTCTGTTAGGCCGTGTGTCGGCCACCCACTTGGGCTCCCAACAACTATAATTACATCCAAGGGTTGTGATTTAAGGACCGTTGGTTGATCCAACGGTCCAGATGCAAATTTCATTTTTTTATAATATGTTATTTTAAAATACATTGAATCCAACGGCTAAGATCGAATATAATCAAATCTAACGGTAAAAATATATATATAACGGCCCAAATTTAAATCAAATGGCTAAAATAATTAAAAAAAATTATTTAACACAAAATTCACCCCAAAACTCTATAAATACCTATGTATTTGTTCAAACATCCACACAAAACTCAATTTTCTCTTACAATTCTTACAATTTATCTTTCTACCATTTCCAAATTGTTCAACATGGCAATATAGCATATTAGAGGTCATAATTGTACCTGTGAGGAAAATGTTGCTTTATACTTAGCATGAGTTTCTGTTAGCGAAGATGGTACAGTTGGCACAAATCAAAATAAGAAGGTTTTGTGGGATAAAATCATTGCAAAGTTTCAAGAAAACTGCAATGGCAGCGGGCGGGATGGTGGTGGTGTTTATGATCGGTGGAAGACTATTAACAAAGCATGCACTTTATGGAAATGAAGCTTAGAGATAGTCATGGTTGGCATGGCTAGTGGAAGGAGCGCCACAAAAATTGTGAGTTTTGTTCTTGATATTTTATTTGTCATGTACATAAAATTTTAGGCCAGAACGGTTGAAGTATAAAAGCTGTTTCTAGGCTAAAAGCTAAATTTTCCGGGCTAAAATATTTGGCTTTTGGCCCAACCATTGAAGATGGTTTAAGTGTAAATTTATATGCAAAAAAAATAGTCAATTTAAAAAAAAATACTAATAAAATGTAACCCTATATCATGTGAAATGGAGAAACAAATTCATGTGGATATCTGTTACTCAGATTGGTCATGCTTGGTAGGAAACCCCAATAAACATATCATTTCTTCAACTTTCATATAATTTGTTGTTTGTCATTTAGATTTAGAAGAAATGGTATATAAATTAGAAATTTGTGTTTCACTTGGAGAAAATGTCTTTACTTAGATATGTCACTCACTCTGAGTTCGAAAACATGATTCCATGCCCATAGTTGCATGGAGTTGTTAGTCTCTAATTAATCCACATAATTTTGGTCAATCAATTGTCTTATTTCTCAGAAAAACCAATAACGAACCACGTAACAGACAACACACCGTATATATTTTCTAACAAAGCAAAAGCTTTTGTGAGTTTGATAATTAGTTATTAGAGAAGAGAATCAATGAAAATTGAATATGCATAAAAAATGCACAAACATAATTATTTTTTGCAGCTATATTAAAGCATAAACAAGAATTGAATTCGCACAGAAAATACACCAACATTTTTTTATGCAATTATAGTAAGAGTAAATTGTAGTAATAGTCCCTCAACTTTAATCAAATTGGAGTAATGGTCCCTCAACTAGAAATCCATTTCCATTTGTCCCTCAACTTATCAAAATATGTAGCTATAGTCATTTTCATCAATTTCATCAAAATTTAGTCAAAATAAGTTATGTTGGAATAACCATTTATATAATTAGGGTCTCTCAACTCATCAAAGTGTGTAATTATGGTCATTTTCGTCAATTACATCAAAAAATTTGTTAAAATGAGTTATGTCGGAAGGACCATTGCTACAATTATGTTAAAGTTAAGAGACCATTTATCCAGTTGAATTAAAGTTGAGGGACCAATGGTAATGGATTTTTAGTCGAGGGACCATAGCTACACGTTTTGATGAGTTGAATGACCAATGATAATTAATTTTTAGTTGATAGACCATTACTCAAATTGAGTTAAAATTAAAGGATCATAGTTACAATTTACTCTTATAGTAGAGCGTGTTTTCTGCACTAAAAACGTATTTTCTATTGAAGTGCTAAGATAATTCCCTTATGGTGTAATTACTGAAAATATGTAAGATATTTATAAAAGGGAAAAACCAAAAATGACCACAAGTTGACTTTTCCAATAAGATTTTATCCGAATTCTCATTGTGATGACCCACGAGATTTACGAGTCGTGTCCGTTTATTGTACATCGTACGGTCAGTTTTCGTCAGATATTATTTATATTCAATTTTAAATATAAAATTAAAATAATATCCTATCGCACGATATACGATAAACGATAACGATTTACGAATTATCGGAATTCTCACAAAGTTGATGCGGAGAGGAACCGGATTCATCTCTTTTAGAGAGCTACTTTCCCACACGTTTGAACTTAATCCATAACATTTCCCGTACAAAATTGTATGTGGATTCCCATCCATCACACAAAGAAATATATGAATATCTTTTCAGTTTTCCAACTGATTTTTGAAGTCGTTATTACTCACTTGCTCTCTTCTTCCTCTTCCCCCTAACCATCAAAGTTCATCCCATTCCCATTTCACTCTCTGATTCTCTCAGCCTCCATTCCCAGAGCAGAATCCATGAATTTGCTCTGCGTAAATTGCGTAACCGCGACTCCGTTCCCTGCCAATCAGCATCTGAGCTCGCGAGCTCACACTGTGCCGAGCCGTAGAAATGCGCCGTCCAAGGCTCCGGCGTCGTTTGATTACAGGCTCCGAATGCGAGGAGGCAAGAAACCGTTGCGATTCCGAGTTTCTAATGCCGCAATCGAAACGCGGAGGAGCTTGGCGGCGTCTGCGGGAGAAGGGCAATTGACCAAACCTAGCGCCGCCATGGAGCAGCTCGACTTCGAACGCGGCGTTTGCGTGCCGTTTCGCAAGTACAGTCCAGAAACTGTATGAAACTGAACTCTAGCTCAGTAAACTTATCTCTCATATTTTATTAATTTCTTGTAAATTTTAGTGAAGTTTTATCCTAATCTTGTGATAATATGCAAATGATCAAGCCTGGTTGGAATTCAATTTATCTGTTAGGTTTCTGAACTGAACTCGAGTTTGATTTCGGATGATCCTCTAGTTAAAAATTGGATGTGTTTTTTTGTTTGTGTGAATTTGTTAGGCACTTGTACTCAATTTGGCATGAATTTCTTGATGTTATTTATAATTAGGTGAGAAATACGGTGTTGAAATCCAGAGGAGCAATTGTGTCGTTACTTTCGAGGGGCGTGGAGATTGTGTGGAGTTTGGGATTGTACTGGTCTACCTTGGCGTATGACTACTTCGTAGGAAGGGACGAAGAAGTTGTTTCAGATCGTGCTCGGCAGCTTAGAAACCTCCTATGTGATTTGGGGCCTTCTTTCATTAAAGCCGGCCAGGTTTGAACCTCACTCATACGAGTTATATCCTTCTGTCTTTGCTTAAATATGTCAGTTTACTTTCATTGGATTAACTGCAAAACTGAACTTTGTCATAGCAAAGCAAAATAACAGAAAATAATGCATCAACCGTAGGTTTACTATCACGTTTTAATTAGAATAAGATGGATCATTCAATGAAGATGTAATATGTTGAGATCTAAAAATTTAGATGTAATGCTACATATATTAAAAAGATTGAAAGACGAGAATTCATTGTGGTTGATTTTATGCATTTGGGATTACGATTTTTAGGTTAATTCTAATATTTAGGTAATAATTATTGATGAACAGATCTTTAAATTCATATTCTTGTGTTAAACACATGCCTGATTTCACCCATGTATTGAAAGGTTCTCGCAAACAGACCTGATATTATCAGAGAAGATTATATGAACGAACTGTGCATTCTTCAAGATGACGTTCCTCCCTTCCCCAATCAGGTAAAATCTCAATTTACCAAAAAGTTATTGGTTCCAGTTGCTTGCATTTGTGATGAGACACTTCTACTGTGTGAGGTTTGCTTAACTTATTCGAGCACATGGCATGCATTGCTTCAGGTTGCCTTCGACATAATAGAAGAAGAAATGGGGCGACCCCTCGAAGCTGTTTTCAGTAAAATTTCTTCTCAGACGATAGCAGCTGCCAGTTTAGGTCAAGTATACCGAGCTACGTTACGTGACTCTGGCAAGGAAGTTGCTATTAAGGTTTACCAAAGGACCTTTTCTTAGGTCATTAACAGCTCTACAGTTAATGTGTTGTGACAATGCTGAAAACATTACTGCGGCAAAAATGTTGAAAAAAAATTCTAATTTATGTTTTTTTCACTTACAGGTTCAGAGGCCGCAAATAGAACCTATAATTTATCGGGATCTTTTTCTTTTCCGAACTCTTGCTTCATTCTTAAATGGCATCAGTCTGCAGAAACTGGGGTGCAATGCTGAGCTGATTGTTGATGAATTTGGTGAGAAGCTTTTGGAGGAGCTTGATTACACTTTGGTACCTTTCAGACCTGTGCTATAGGAGGACAAAAATTGGACTTTGGCGCCATTATATTATGCCTATGGCCTCATTAACATCGTCATTTCAATGCAATTTAAACCGCCATTTTTTCTTTTGACCTTTCTAATTTGTACTCCAACTCTCTTTCCTCTAAACAGGAAGCCCGTAATATTGAAGATTTTCTTCTGAACTTTGAAGGTGATCCTACCGTCAAAATTCCTCTAGTTTACAAAGAGCTTTGTAGTTCACGTGTTCTAGTGATGGAGTGGATTGATGGCATTCGGTGCACTAACCCACGGGTATGATTGTCAAGATAAAAGACGGTATTTTAAAGCAATGAGCTATCATATCTATATCAATAATAAACTGCCCCGCATTTCAGGCTATTAAAGAAGCTGGTATTGATGTGAATGGGTTCTTAACGGTTGGAGTCAGTGCCGCATTGCGGCAATTACTGGAATTTGGGTTGTTCCATGGGGATCCACATCCTGGAAATGTTTTTGCCATGCGTGATGGGCGGATTGCATATGTGGACTTTGGGAATGTTGCTGTGCTTAGTCAGGTGAAATATATACTTCCATGGCATTGATTAATGAATGAGAGAGCAGTAAAGCCCCTTTTTTTTGTCTTTAGTACATCGGCATCTGACACTTTGTTGATTATTGAGGTCAATGAGAGAAATCAATATAAAAGGGTATTTCTTTCCATAGCATACACGGCCAAGATACAAAGATGTATCACTTTCCCTTAGTTCAGAGTATTGTAATATACTCTTTTAAATTTTGAAATCTTCAATTCTCCTTATGGCCACGAGGGTTAACATAACATTGTAACTATGCATACATGGACCATGACAGCCCAGCCACCAAACCTATTGCATTTCTATTGTCTTTATGGAAATAGAATGTTTTATATCTGCTATTTTTTTATTATGGGTTAGTAACGTTAGTTTATCTTAATTTACATGTCCTACATATTGATCTATATTTTAATTTTTTCAGCAAAATAAACAAATTTTGATTGACGCTGTTGTCCATGCTGTAAACGAGGACTATGTTGAGATGGCAAATGATTTCACCAGACTTGGCTTCTTGGCTCCTGGGACCGATGTCTCTCCTATTGTTCCAGCTTTAGAAGCGATATGGCAGAACTCTGTTGGAAAAGGACTGTCTGACTTTAATTTTCGAAGCGTTACCGGTAATTTCATGTCCTAAAGTCTTTACTTTTACTTCTGTTTTTAGTTTTCTTTCCATGGAAAATCTAGTTGTTTTAGAACTCTGGAACTTGGGAATGCATCTCCCTTGTCTACATTATATAATATACATTGTGGTTTAGAATCATTAGATGTTCATTTGGGACACTCATAATATTTGAAGCACATTTGCTTGGGGATGTAAGAACTATAACCGTATAAAGATGACATTTAGCATAATTTTAAAGTTCCTTGGCATTATACTACATTGGTCCGGCTTCACCACGATTAAGGGTTTATAGATTTACAGAGAGCCACCTCATACTATGTTTTGTAATAAAAGAATACAAAGTATTATTGCTGTTATAATATTTTCACTGTCAAAAAATTGACAAGAGTATCCTATAGAACACCTCACTATTGTCAGCAAACAGTAAGGGTGTCTACTGAAAGCAAGAGTTAGGCAAGGTTGATTTTAGTTCTCTAATATTAAGATTTTAACTGGAAATTGTATGATGCCTTTGCTCTAGCTTGTCAAATTTATAAATTTTATGTCGGGGTACCTGGTAATGTTGGGAGTTACCTGATTCTTATAAGAGAACATTGCATTCAAATTCATTGTGCATGTGTGTGTGTGTGCGTGTGCAGACTGCTGATATGTTTTCTATTACGATTTAGTTGCCTGCAGGGTTTTCTGATGCTTTGAGGGAAATGAATAATTGCGTTTTGTTAGTTCCTTTTATTTTTGACATGCACTATGCTTTTTGCTGGCTCTGCTGCAGGGAAGTTTAACCAATTAGTCTACAACTATCCCATCCGTATCCCGGAGAGGTTTTCCCTTGTCATCCGTTCTTTATTGACTCAAGAGGGCATCTGTTTTACTTTGCAGCCAGACTTCAAGTTTCTTGAGGTAAAGGCGGATCTTTTTTCATACTTTTTGTGGGTATCATATCTTTTAATTGATGTTATTCGGCATGTAAAAGTTTTCCGTAATAGATTCAACCCTGTGGTATATGTTGAATTTTTTATTTAAAGGTTACTTTTGCTATTTATATGCTACGACGGAGTGCCTGCCATGTTTTACATTTAGAAACCTCATATCTCATATGCAAATTTTGTTATTGCAATGATAGCCATCTGTGTTGTACATGCTTTCCTTCCCCATACTATTATTGACATTATTCAGTCAAACAGGTTGCCTATCCATATGTGGCAAAGCGCCTCCTGACAGATCCAAACCCAGCTCTCCGTGAACGCCTCATACAGGTGAGTTCAAACCTAGCTATTATGTATGTGATGTACTTGGAAGTCTGTTAGTTGAATAACTTGAATTTAAATCACATCCAATCCAAATACATTCAAGAACCCTTCGTACTCCTTAACTTGCTCTGCAGTTGAAAAAAGGAAGAAAAATAAAAAGTTGCTGCGAATGAAACGTGCAGTATTGCCCACAGGAACAGCTATATTGATTTAGAGGAATTTTCCGATTAACTAGTTTAAAGCTATTTTTGCTGAAATAGAAATCCTTTGACAATATGCTTCTGGTTTTAGGTACTATTTAAAGATGGTGTTTTCCAATGGAAGCGGCTAGAAAACCTTATTGTTCTGGCCAAAGAAAACGTGACCAAGATGAGCAGCAATCCTGCATTCCAAGCTGTAGACACGTCAGTATCTGCTCATGGGCCTGCTTGCCTATTTGTTTGTTCTTCTGCTTAGGAGTTTAAAACCCTATATTTTCTTGGGCTGTTTTTTGCAGGCAACGGTCAAGAGAATTGCAAGTTAGTAGGAAACTGGACCTCACTGACACCATCAAAGATGGAGCTCGCCTTTTCATTTTTGATGAAGGAATTCGTAGAAAGCTTATTCTTGCTTTGACGGAAGATTCAAGGCTTCACATTGAAGAGGTACGAAAATCTGACAAAACTATTATTTTCGTAAAAAAATAAAAGATAACGACCCAAGAATTGAGTTTTGATAAATTATGTTGTCAATGTGTCTTCTCTCTAGCTTGTGGATGTGTATAGACTCGTTGAAGATCAGATAGACATACCGTCAGTTGCAATGGAAGTAGCACGAGGTAAAAACACTTCATCTTGCCCTTTTTAATCTCAAGTTTTAGTCTACGAATTAGAGTATTTGCAATCGTATGTTTTACAAAAGCCGAATCTCAAGTGGATTCGCTTATATCAGTGGGTTTCATTTTTGCGAGAGATGTGGTAAGCAATGTGGTACAAACCTACAAGTAACATTACTTGCCAGATTGTTTATAACGTGGCACAAGGAAACCGATTATTTTTTTTCCAAACTTTTGTGTTTATATCTCAAAATCCTGTGCTCGGACTTGCAGATTTCCCCAGCGTTATACGAGATCTGATGCTTTCGTGGACTGATTCGGTGTTATCTGATAGATAGACCAAGTTTTGGAGTTGGGCTTCAAAAACGTAATCCGACTTACGAGTATTATACGACACGAATCTTTACACTTTTATCGGATGAGAACCTGTTACCTCAAAGTTGTAAATTGCCTTGCAAACGTTGTAAATGATAGACATTCACTGTATCTGTATACGAACGGTTATATGGTATAGCAAAAAGTATCTGCAAACCAGTTGCAGTTTTTGGGGCAAATCACAAAATATTATCCCTTTTGGGGCAATTGAAGTAGTAGTGACACTATTACCAAATATTTGTAATTACAGTTTGATGCGCACATTAAATTAGAATAGGCACACCCATTAAACTCTATGATTAATACGTCAAATGTGTAATTAATTCTTGTCTAATTCTAGAACCAACGACAGAGATCGTTATAGAGTCGTTGAAGATCAAGTAATCTTGTGGGTACTATTAGTACTAGGACCGTTTTTTCGAGTTATAAGTTATAACATCATTCATATCATTCTTGAAAAAAATTAGACAAATATAAAATTATTAAGACGTTCATTTGTAATAAAGAAAATAGACAAATACGTTTCTACAAAGAAACCATAAACTCTTAATCTAACAATCATATGGTTTCAAATTTGAGTGATTTTTTTTATAGACATGACCTTTGAGAGAAGGCATAAATGATAAAAAGTTCGAATCGTTGAATTACATTATGGAGTGAACGCCACAAAAAAAATGTATAAAAAATGGTTTAGAAGAAGCGTTGTCATCCGTTCCCAACCTTAAATAGATTAGCACTTTCCATTTTATTTGGAAAACTTTACTAAAATACTTACTAATCTCAATGGCTTGATTGATCTTTTAATACACACACACACTAGCACAACACTTTATCTGTATGAACAATTTCTCTTAATAAGTGCATATTTTTTTTAATATTACATAATTATTGTTTTGTCCTCCTTATGTAAATATTGTGTATCAAAAGTGAGGGTAAAATTAGAAAAATAAATATATGATTGTCATTTTCTTAAAAAAAAAGAAGGTAAAATAGGAAAAATAGGGATATGATAGTCATTTTGTCAAAAGGTAGAAAATTACTATTTTACCCCTCTTTTAGTGTATATCAAAAGTGAGAGCAAAATTGAAAAAAAAGTTGGCAAGGAAGGTTCTCTTAATAGAATGTATATATATATTACATGAATTAAATATGACTTTTAGATGATAATCTAAATTAAATATTAATGAAACATTTTTTGTCAACTAAAAGAGGATGAAAAAATATTTTTATCTTTTATCACAAAATAAAATTATGGACAATAAAGTAATTTTGCACAAATTAAATTTTACAATTTTTTTTTAAACATCACTTACATACGATCCTAACAAATCTCTAGTTTAAAAAATAAAAATAACTCATCCCCAATTTCCAAGTTATCTCTTTCTCTCCCTCTCTTTCCTTCTCATTTAAGAAAAAAAAAACAAAATAGGCATATACACAAGAGTGCATTTTTGCTCACCACATTCAAGTGATAGTAATGCTCACTCTTTATTTATCACCGTTAAATGAGTTTTAATTTGAAGCAAAATGTGTGAAGATATGGTAGTTACGTTAAATACATGTAGGTATTATATCCAATTTCAATTTCTTTTCCCCCAAAATTCCGGTTTTGTCAATTTCAACCAACCAAAAGACAAGAAAAAAGTTTTTATTGGAAAGATTTTTATTTATTTTTGGCCGAAAATTTTAGTAGTAGGACTGTAGGAGGTTCAGGAAACCTCTTTCCTTCAGTTTCCTCCCTAAAAGCCAGTCCCAATATCACAGGAAAAGAAGAAGAAGAAGAAAAGGAAAAAAAGTACCATCTTCAGATCTTCTCCCCTTGCTCCTCACTACTCCTGCTGCACCAGGTAAACCCTAATTCTCCCATCCAAGCATTCCAATTGATCCAATTTCAATGGGCGCCACTGCTTCTCTTGGAATTTCTTCATCGGATTTTACTTTGGGGTATAAATTCATCGAATTTTACTGAATTTTCCCCCAAATTTCTCATTCGGCATAAATGCGTAATTAACAAGCTGTTCCAAACTTGTGGTTGCTGAGAAAGCTGTTGATTTGAATTTGCTTTTTTATTTTCTCCCATTTGCTTCAAGTTTTGATTTTTCAGATTTTCTTCTTTTTAGAAAGCAGAGCATTTCAATTTTGTAATAGGCAACTGATTGTTTTCAGGTTTGCGTGTGATTGGGTGCAGCTTCATTCATGTGGCAGAGAGATAGAGCAATTCATTTCGCAGCTGGAATTCAAACTCGTGCGATAGTTTTCGGCATTGAATAAGCATTGTTGTGGATTCGATCAAGGCACGTTTAGTAAATCAACCCGTCTTAAGGGCTGCGGCGGTGTATGCACTGGGTATGTTGCTGATTTTGTTTTGTGGTTACTGACTTTTTATATGTATGTGTATTTGTTTTTAATTGAGCCAGTTCTTTCCATAGGACCATGCCTCGTAAAGTAAACTACGGAATTGATTATGATGACGGGTACGATGCTTATGAAGATCATGATTATGATTATGATGATGATGATGAGTACGGAATAGAAAAGAATGGTTAGTGATCGTTTTACTTGAATTTATTTTCATTCTTCACCCAAAGTTGTCCTTGAATCTGCATGGTAGTTTACAGCTTTGAAGTAATTCTTAGTTTGCATCTTTCCATTTTTGGTAGTGTATATTTGGTTTGATGGATCTATTTTGTTGGTTCACTCTTCAAAAATACACAAAGATTTAATTCACTTTCATCTTGAAATATACTTTTGCAATCTAGAAGTAGAAGATGTTTGTTTGTCCAGTATTTGAGATTTCACATAATGACATACTACCTTGCAATCTGAAAAATGCTAAGTTTGTCAAATGCCAAGTCTCTGTCAAAAAATTCCTTATTTATCTCTTTACCTTGTTCGTCTACTAATTACAGCCATTACATATATACATCTTAACTGTTATATCCGCTGCTGAATGGGTAATTGCAGTAACAGGCAAAGCAGTTGAGTCAAAGCGCGAAACTGAAAGGCCTAAGGTCTGGAGTTGTTCCATTTGCACGTATGATAATGAAGAGAATACGTCTGCATGTGACATTTGTGGGGTTCTTCGCAACCCTTTGTCTAAAAGCAATAGAGATAATAAAACAGGTATTAAGTGTATCCTAAACCTTTGTGAGCTACTCTGTGAGTTTCTTATTTTTTATTTCCTGGGAGTTCTGTGTGGCAAGGACATTCCTTTGCCTAAACCCTCCTCTCATTTTTTTTATGTAAGAAGATTTTGCCTGTATTTGTTGGTTTGGGAAAGGATACCGTGCTTCATCTTATATTATATGACATTGCCCTTTGGGTAGATCTCATCTTTTTTAAGGAACAGTTTGTATGTTAGTCTTTGTTACTCAGATTTCATTTCAATTTAATGCCTTTTAAAAAACAAAATAAAAGTCAAGTTCATTGCCCTTTTTAGAAATCTCTTTCATGCAGTTGAAGGCAGATGCAAAGATTCTGGAGTATCCATAATGGCCAAGTCTATTTTTGCATCATTGCCGCACCAGAAGCCAAAACAGGCTGTACTATTTCATCAGCAGAAAGATGATTCTATGATAGAAGAGGGCAATAACTTCCACAGGCTTGGGGATTTCAAAGGACCTATTCATGAATTCCTTAACACTTTTAATGTTCATAACAAACACCGTATTGATATAGGTCTGCACTCTTTTTCCTAAAGATGATTTAGAGTAGAGTTAGAACATCACCATTTTCACAGTTGAGAGATACTATTTAATCCAAGCATCTACCATCTTTTACTGCTTAAAGAATGTCATTATATATATTTGTGGCATATATGTTCTGAGTTCTAACTTTGCTTGCTTTGATGATACAGCTCCTTTCAAGTTTGATGTTCCATCCCCAGATGACGTGGTTTATAATGGATTGTGGTCCTCCAAAACAGGTTCAAAAGGTATACTTTTCTTATATTATTAAAATTCCAATGTGGGTATTTTTTTGTCACAACTTACAGTCCACACAGAAAGGTTCCCCGTATTATTATATAGTAACCTATGGACTAGAAGAAAGCTATCTTAAAATTTGAGATTTTTTATAACATAATATATGTAATCCAGACTTTCAATATAAGTGATCTAAAAGTCCTTGCCAAAACCTGGACAAAACTTTGCTTTGTTTGAATTTGTTTGGGGGTCTTCAACAATGGGTTTCCTTCAGACTCTTAATTTTTTTTCTTTGGTTGGTTTTGGACTGAGAAGAAGTCTGCTACGGTAACTGACATATAATGCCTTTCTAGTGCACTAAGTGATTAGAAGTATCTATTTTTCAGAAAACAAGCTATATTGGTCAGTTTTCTAAATGTACTTTTATTAGTCTTTTTGTGAGATAAAATTGTTTGATATGATTCTCTAATATGTTTTATTTGCAGCTGGTGTTATTGACTTGAAATCTTCAAAAGCTTCCCCAAATGTTGCGAAGAAGAGTAGTGCAGTTAGTGCACAATCAAGTGCTGAATGGTCAGGTAGTTCATCTACAATGGCACAAAAAAGGGAACAAGGTAGATTAGATAAGGAAATTCAGTTGGAGAATCAGACAGTTAGTTATCACCATGGAAGTAGTGGCGCGATTACTATACAAGAAAATGGTAAATTTTCAGAGAGTTCATCTGCTTCGCAGCCAACAAGCAGACGTGACAGTGGGGTTGAGAGCACTTCTGAAATTAGGGGCAAGTCACAGAGTGTTACCAGTGGCTTGAAAAACATGACTTTGGATGCTCGATCTGGATATTCTAATAGTGTTAGTGTTAGAGAATCTCGTTCACAAGCGGACTATAAACCTGAGAAGTGGATGCTTCCTGACCAAGCTATAGATACACTGACTCAACTGAATCTTGCAATAGTAAGCCCCGCTAGATTATGGTCTTACAATCCAACTCATTGTCTTCCTCCTACTGCCAATTGATAGGAAATGGAGCCAATTTTTGTTTCACTTGTTATTGTAGGTTGGTCATGTTGATTCTGGAAAATCAACACTCTCTGGTAGGTTGCTTCACCTTTTGGGAAGGATATCTCAGAAAGAAATGCACAAATATGAGAAAGAGGCAAACTTGCAGGTAATCTAATTGCAATTTTTTATTTGAGTACTTTTGAAGGTTGAATCTCGTGTTCAAATTGGGTTCATGATTTATCAGGGAAAGGGGTCCTTCGCATATGCTTGGGCATTGGATGAGAGTACCGAAGAAAGGGAAAGAGGAATAACTATGACAGTGGCTGTTGCATACTTTGATTCCAGAAAATATCATGTTGTTGTGCTCGACTCTCCTGGCCATAAAGATTTTGTTCCTAACATGATATCTGGGGCAACACAAGCTGATGCTGCAATACTTCTCATAGATGCCTCTGTTGGTGCATTCGAAGCTGGTATGGATGTTGGCAAGGGACAGACAAGGGAGCATGCACAACTTATTAGAAGTTTTGGTGTTGATCAAATTATAGTTGCTATTAACAAGATGGATATTGTTGAGTACTCCAAGGATCGATTTGATTTGATCAGACAGACACTTGGAACATTTCTCCGTTCCTGTGGTTTCAGAGATTCTTCGGTGTCTTGGATTCCATTGAGTGCCATGGAAAATCAAAATTTGGTAGCAGCTCCTTCTGATGTCCGTTTATCGTCTTGGTGAGTGCACTTGTTTTTCATCACTTTAAAATCACTGCTGATGATGGATAAAAGATGAAATGTTGTCTTTATTCGAAATGTAGGTGCTAACTCATTTTTATTTTACATATTAGAATTAGAACTTTGTGTATTAGCTAAATTCTGGGCTTCATTATGAAGTTTTTGGTCTACTTGTTTCTCTTCATGTTACTCACCCTCCTCCCTCACTCTCCCTTCTCTCACTCTCCTATTCTATCTCAAACTCCGCCTCTCAAAGCAAGCTTTGTTCTGCGTCAAAAAACATTTTCACCCACTAGAAGGATCTTCATCTTTTTATTTATGAAAACTTTTCATATCATTCAGAAGCCACTGTAAGGAGAATAACGGGATAGCAACTTGTTTTATGTGAGGTTCATTTTCAGTAGGGCCCCATGTAATAAAATCAAAAGTTCATGTTGATAGTAGCTCGCCTGAAGAAGTAGACAATCGTGGCATTCTTAATGAAAACTTTGGAGAACTTTTCCTTATTGCTGCTGATATTGTGAGTGAAAATAGTTTGAGGTAACTGAATTGCAGGTACCGTGGACCTTACCTGTTGGATGCAATTGATTCCCTCAAACCTCCTACAAGAGAGTTTTCAAAGCCATTGCTGATGCCTATATGTGATGTCATCAAATCTTCTTCACAAGGACAGGTGTCTGCTTGTGGTAAATTGGAAGCAGGAGCTCTTCGAAGTGGATTCAAGGTATGTTGGTGGATAGTATTAGAAGTTTCCATAAGTAATCTGACTACACATCTGTCATTTCTCATATTAATAGTTCATTGAATCGGTTAAGATCATAGATATTTCCTCTGTTTGAGAATTTTCACACACATGTACAGCTCACATGTATGCATGTGGAAAATTGTCCTTTTATCAGACCGGTCTATGTTGGTATTCTGAAAAGTGACATTGTCATACAACTTTTACGCATGAACACAGTTAAGGAAGGTCTTGATGTAGTTCAAGATTAAGTGATACATTCACGCGATTGGATTGCTTTGGAATTTTTATACATATATACACAGTTTGTAGTTCAAGATTAAGTGATACATTCATGCAATTGGTTGCATTGGAATTTATTGTACTTATATACCACAGTTTGTTGCTCATTGGGTTTGGTGGACATGAGCTATTGAACTGGCTGTCTGTTTCTCTTTTAATGTTACCTGCTGGAGAAAGTTGTCCGTATGATTAGATGACAGGCTCATGCATATTCTAATGCAAGTAATCAATTTAATTAAATTCAAGTACATCTAATATAAGCCAACAGTTCGTTTGCTTTACCACTCCTGTATCTTTCCTTGTACCATAACCATAACCTGGTGAATTGTGTAGGTTCTGGTTATGCCTTCGGGAGAATCAGGGACTGTACGCTTGTTAGAACGTGACTCTCAGGCTTGTGCAATTGCAAGGGCTGGGGACAATGTGGCTGTTACTCTGCAAGGCATTGATGGAGGTCGTGTGATGGCAGGAGGTGTGCTCTGTCACCCTAGTTTTCCGGTTGCAGTTGCAAAACATTTGGAATTGAAGGTGCTTGTTTTGGATGTTACAACCCCAATTTTAATTGGTTCTCAGGTGTGTATTTCATTTGCATGAAAATTTTACTTTTCTTTTTGCGCCACTGTTTTTTGTGGAAATCAAATATAATACGTCTGGAATGAGCAGTTGGAATTCCACATACACCACGCGAAGGAGGCTGCGAGAGTGGTAAAGATTTCATCATTGCTTGATCCAAAGACTGGAAAACTGACAAGAAAGGCTCCTCGCTGTCTTACTGCAAAGCAGAGCGCGGTCGTAGAGGTGAATAAAATCAAAACCATTGCTGCTGTTTCAGTTTACAGTTTACAGGTTAACCTCACGGTACTTTTGGTAGTAACAGTAACATTATTCCGATCCTTTCCTGCCCGTATTTCAGGTCAGTCTTCATGCACCGGTTTGTGTTGAAGAGTTCTCCAACTCCAGAGCCCTTGGGAGGGCCTTTTTAAGGGCGTTAGGAAGCACCATTGCTGTCGGTGTTGTAACCCGGATTATAGAGGAGCAGAAGTAGTTCGCGCACGGTTACGGGGATTAGGTCAGTTTTTGGTAGTGGTGCATAATTTTGGGGTTTGATAGGAATTTCGAGGTTCGGTTGTTGTATGTGCATTCAGCAGTCTCGGCTCATAAACTATATATACACATGCACACACCAAGTGGTTTGTACCTTGTTGAGGACCTATAGGTAATTTGCAATTTTTTTTTGGTTCTTTCAAATAATTACGTGAAATGAAAATTAATCAGGGTTTCGTGTATAATTTTTTTTTTAATTGCGTTTATCCCTGCATCCGACGGCATTTCAAATCCTCCATTCTTACAGTAATTATTCTTAACTGCAGTCGTAGGAGGATTGGTTTCTAGATTTTAGCCTAATTATTGGTCTCCGAATTAGAAGTCCGTGAGTATTGGTTCTTAATCTTGTCACAGCTTGAACTTAGTTAGTTAAAAGAATCATTTCTCCACGTTGTGATAAATTAATTAATAATATCGGCTGACTATCGTTTGCTCCTCGTAAAACATTTTTATTTAATTAATTAATTAATTGATTATATAAATTTTCTCAACTCTTTCGTTTGCACGAGATGAAATCCATGATATTACCGTGGGATCTTCTATGAAATTCTTCTGATGGCATATTAATGAAAAAGAAAATTAAATAATTGAGCAAATAAATATATAAAATCGACTTGGCTTCTTCTTTCACATTCGTTTATTGTAATTAAAATATTAGATATTGGAATCAGCCACTTGCCGTGTTATTTGAATTGTTCTCTAATTAAACAATGGGACTAAAATCATGAAAATCATCATCATTTAACACTTGCACGTCTAATTCCTCCAAACATAACTATTTTTATATTTAAGCACTAAAAACCACCAATGTCACTTTCTTATATGCATATTTTTTTGAGGTTGTTGTGGTTATATGAACAATTCTCACACAATAACTGAACACTAAGAGTTGATATAAGTACACTGTTATTGTGACTGAACTGTAAAAGAGGTTTGTCATATCTGATTCGACAGTATTTATCCGCTTTTAAGACACCACGTATTTTCATACAACATCATGTGAATAAAGTTTACACATGCGTCTCATTGATATACAATATCAAGATTGTGCGCATGTATTGTGAAAGTCATTTTTATGTGTCACATGTTATGCACGTAAATTTTCTCGACCTAAAATTAAAATTTAAAAGTCATATCCTGTATTTTTTTAATTTTTCTTTCGCTATGAGTGATCTGTAAAATTAATAATTATATTTTACATATAAAAATTTTAAATTTTTATAACAGTTAAATCTTGTATAAAACTCGTAGTATTAAATGTTACACGCTGAGAATGTCATTTTAACGTAAATATTTTAGTCCGTGGTTTTACGCCAAAGAAAAGAAGGACAAAAGAGTTGCTTTTGACTTTGGAGAAGGTGCGACTGTGCGAGGAGGCTTGACTATCCAGGCAGGCAAATGCAAATGCAGTACCGCCAACCTGTGGGCACAACCCGTCGCCTCACAAATCACAATTTCACACGCCTACCTTTTGAAAGTCAATCCATTCCTTTCTTTTTTTGTCAACCTCAGTTAATGTTTTTTCTTTTTAAGTATATCGATATAGTTTTACATTAAGAAGATAGATAATTCGACTAAACCATACCCAACGGACAATCTAATTTGGTATTGAAATCATGATTTACGAGATTCGAACTTAAGACCTCTCAGTTCCAAATAAAGAAGAATATCATCACAGATAACTTCAATTCATGTTTGATCAACCATATAAATTTTTTTTTTTTAAATATGATTTTTTAACCTGAAAAAGAAAAAGAAAAACGTTATTAAAACAAATCACATCGTATATTAAATTCACACATACCAAATTGTAATAAAGAATAATAAAAAGAAAAAAAAATAAAATAAATGCAAAACTGATTATAAATATGTCTCAGCCCAAAATAAAACTATCTTTTACTTAGTCGTCGACAAAACTGATTATAAATATGTCTCAGCCCAAAATAAAACTGATTATAAATCGTAATAAAGAATAATAAAAAGAAAAAAAATTTAAAATAAAACTATTTTTATTTTTTTTTAAATATGATATTTTAACTTGAAAAAGAAAAAGAAAAACGTTATTAAAACAAATCACATCGGATATTGTAATAAAGAATAATAAAAAGAAAAAAAAATTAAAATACATGCAAAACCGATTATAAATATCACCACACTGTAGTACTACATGTTAACTCCTTCTGCTCTCTTCATTCCCTTTCTCTTCGTGTCTCTTCTCATAATAAAAAAAATATATATAAACCACCATACTATGCAGGTGTCGGCGTCGACATATCCATATTAAACTACTGTGAAATTTTAGTAACAAATTGTCCATAATTTTGCTGAATTAAGTAAAACTCTCCATGTAGTCCACTCCACTCCCCACATCACAAAGTGTGAATGCTAATGGATTCTGTCACTCTCACATGAGCTTTGGTCAAAGCAAAAGGGCATAACAGTCATTTACTCGAAAAATCGATGTGTAACTTTACCTTGTATATATAAATATTTATGATATACGTAAGCGTTTTCTTGATCATCTGATTAATTAAAAATGTGTGGTCACTCATTGTTAAATTGATATCAAAAGTGGAGTGAACGTGCTTTGAATGTTTACATCTTACCCCTTAACAAATTTTAAAATGGATGATCATGAATTTTTTTAATTACCAAGTGATCAAAAGAACGGAACTCGGTATATATATCGGAAAATTTGTAGTTGCGACGGAAATACGGATGGTACAACACGTTTTTTTATGCAAGTGGTGAAAATTTTTAATTTTTAAGTTATTAACCTTTAACACACATAACCTATTATTTATATAGGGATACATGATGTACCACTTCGTGTGATGGGAATATTGAAAAATCTCATATATCCATCTTTTGGAAAAGAAGAAAACGGAGAAAAAAAATAGAAAAGAGAGAGAGAGAGACCCTACCAACCTGCTCCTCCCAAAGCTGACCTCTCCCAATCACACACAGAACATAAACAAAAGAGAGACCAAGAAATGATGCTCTCTTTACTCTCATAGAACTTTAAACAAAGACCAAAAAAATAAAATAAAATCTCTCTCGTTCCTGAGGCCCTCTGTATCCTCCTCTTTGGTCTCAATCTCCACTTTGGGTTTTCCCCCATATTTCAATCGAAGATTCTTATATATTAGGTGAGACCCAGGTTCCCAATTCTCTCTCTGTTTTCTGGGTTTTTTTTTGCCCTTTCTGATTGATACTTTGGTTGTGAATTTGGGTTGATTTTATTGGTTTTTGTTGATTTTACTGGATATCCATTAGAGTAAAGTTTTCATCTTTTAACTTTTCACCACTGATTTCTCAGTTGACTGATTAACCCATGTTTTGGTTTGATCAGTTTTTGTGATTACTAACCGGTTCTAATTCATATTTTGTCAGAACAACTGTGATTCTTTGTTGTTTATGCTGGATGTTAATCAATTTGTTTAATTTGAATGATTTTGGGCTGATTAATTTATTTTTAATATCCATGCAGCTTAATCGATGTTTTCTAATTCGATATAGTTACTTGGGTTTGCTTGTTCTAATGTGTCAAGATATTTGGTTGTTGAATTTGATTGGATGATATATTATTGATTAAGTAGGTTTAAGGAATCGCTTGTGGAAATTGATTTTCTGTAATGGCTGTTTGCTTCTGTTGACTTTCTTAAGGGTTGAACTAATCAACGTTCAACCTGGAGAATTTGACAAGCAGACAGCGTAACCTATTAAAACCAAATCAGAAGAAGGAAACAAACGAATTGAGATTATATATATTGTGTTCTATGTTGTTTGGTTACTGTGCTTAGCTAAATCCATACGGTTGACCTGGTTCCTTTCGATTCAAAGGATACTGAACATACTTTACTTTCCTTAGTGACCTTGCTGCGCATTTGGATCATAAATTTTTTGGTAATATGCTAATTTAACAGAAAGTTTTTTTGATGGGTTGTACTGGTTTCAGTATATTTTTTTGAAAACTGGTCTTACTTGGCTCATTACAACTGATCCTTGTTAGAGTAATGTCTACAAACTCATCCTTCTCATAACTCGCGTGCGTGGTCCCTCTTTCTCAATATATATCATTTATATGGTTCCTCTAATGTGCTTTAATAGCCATAGTCATCGGAAATTTTGTTTTTAATTCTAGGTTATTGAAGTTTTTTTTTCTTTTTCCAAAGAGTGTAGAATATGGTGAGCAATTTTGCATTTCTTCATCTTCCTAGCTTTGCCGTACTCTATTCATTCATACTTACCGTGATCCTTTACTGTGCAGAGCCTCATGTAGGATGCTATCATATTGGATCAGTGGCTTTTAACCTGGGAGATTGGTTAGTCTATGCTCAGAGTTTCCATTGTTTAAGTGGTGCTTCTGATCCGGCGCATGCCATGTGCTTGTGTTAATTCTAAGCAATATCCCCCGTCATGGCCTTTGAAGCTAATCAAAGAGGGCTTCAACCCTGTTTAATCAATATGGATGATATTGAGTTAAATATAAACTGGGAAGACGTGAATTGTCCTATATGTTTGGACTTTCCTCACAACAGTGTACTACTTCAGTGCTCATCTTATGAGAAAGGGTGCCGTCCTTTTGTTTGTGACACAGACCACTTACACTCCAATTGTTTAGACCGCTTCAAAAGTGCATATGGTATGTCATCTCCTTCAAAACCAGTTGTGAATCCTGCGGAAAATACTGAGCCAAAGGCATCAGAAGATGATTGCAAGCCTACTTGTCCTTTGTGTAGGGGGGAAGTTACTGGGTGGGTTGTTGTTGACAAGGCTCGTGTACAACTCGATGTGAAGAAGCGTTGTTGTGAGGAGCATCGCTGTACATTTATGGGTTCGTATTTGGAATTACAAAAACATGCTCAGCTGGAGCACCCTCATTCTCGTCCTTCAAAGATTGATCCTGCTCGGCAGCTTGATTGGGAAAATTTCCAGCAGTCCTCCGAGATCATAGATGTTTTGAGCACTATACATTCAGAAGTCCCTCGCGGGGTGGTTTTAGGAGACTATGTGATTGAATATGGTGATGATGAGACTGGGGATGAGTTTGAGGACTTCCATGGGGATGAACGCAACTGGTGGACCTCCTGCATCTTATATCAGGTTTTCGATAACTTAAGGAATTCTAGAAACAGAAGAAGGTCAAGAGTTGGTGACACAAGAAGAGGAAGTCGCCGAGCAAGCTATGATAATTCAAATTCTGATGAAGGTTCTGTGACATCTGTTGAATTCCCAGAGTATAGGGCAGATGAGATGGATGATGAGTTTATGAGTACAACTGGCCCCTCCAGAGGTGGCTCTAGTTATCGCAGGTCTGTAATGTTTCTTTAAAATGAAATTTGTAACTTATCATGTTATGCTATGTATCGCCGAGCAATCATCGTTCTTGCATGGATAGTTAAAGTCATGACTATTACACTACGGCGAGAAATCTAATCCACCATCTTTTCTGATATGCCCTTATACAAATGCACCATTTGATTCATTTCCTTGTTGGACTGATTGTGCCAATAGGAATCTCTTTAAGTGCAGCTTGGAGAGCTCAGTACCGGCACATGTGCATACTGCTGAGCTTTACGGCTCTTGTTTAACTTCCGTAAAAGATTGTAGAATTCATTTATTTCTTGGCTTTACCTAACAGTTATGCATATTTCTCTTTTATTTGCAGTTCCCGTAGACGTCGTTCTCGCTTCTATGACAATTAGGTATGCTTACACATTCGTTCACTCTCTAGTTTTCACAGAATAGAAAGTTGTTTCACAAACTAATCTGGGCCTTAATATCTAAAAGACCGACTCATTTTCTGTGTGGCGTTAGGTTTCGTCGCCCTCAAGCTCTCGTCTTTCGTATAATAAACCCATCTTACAGCACATCTATCAATTTCATACGACGTGTATTGTATCTTCTGGCAGGGCGTAACTAGAATAGAACAAGTGAAGGAAGGAAGGAAGGAAAGAACGAGATCCATCGGAAGACACAGGAAGTGGATTGGCACTGGGATGGGATGCTGGGATGCTTGCTGTGGCTCTCATCTCTTGAGTGGTTTTACATGTAAAAGATAACCTACATCTGGATTGTACATTCTTTCTTGCCTAGGTGGACGAGGACATGATTATTATTTTTCCCTCTATGTTCCTTGTTTGCAATCTTGATCAATTTCTCACTAATGATGTTTTTGGACAGTAATTTAGTATGTAATTACTTTTTGTTTTTCGGCAACTTGGTGCAAAGGCACAACGTACTTATCAAACAAGGACACTGTTTGACTCCTTACATGCATACATATGAAGAACTGCTTTGTCTGCAAAGAAATGAAACACTCGTAGAATTTTGGTTTCAAACCACAGCTCGAGATAAATGTAATCCAGTAAAAGATTCATAAGCGGTTGTTAATGGAGTTGAAGCTACCAAATTTTGAGGAGTCGGTATCAATTTATGCTTAATTTACGAGTCATTTTTCAAATGATTCTTATCGTCGCGGTAGCCATTCCAAATTTTATTCCGATCAAAACAGGAGGTTCCCTAATCGGAGATCTCTGGATCACTGGCCGTTCGCCTCCGAAAGCAGGCGAAGAGAGTCGATATTTGAGTCACATCTTCGAATTCGAGGTGTGGCCTTATCTCATCTCTCAAATTAGACATTGAAATTCTACTTCACATGACATTTAAAAGAAATGAATACTGCAAAGGGAAGCAGCAGGAGGACTTGCATTAAAATACGCATATCCATTTTTCACGCCATAATATTTTGCATAACATTGCTAATTGGTAAAATTGTAGTTCATGCAAACAAAATATTGCCACCTGCTAGCTATGAATACTCAAACGAATACCCAAGATACTACTTCATCAAAAACTTCTGGCTCACATATCGATACCCGTTCAACCCCAGAGATACGAGGTGTTGAGGACTAATATGTGCAGTTCTTGGGTAGGTTCCGGATGACATTGCTTTTCATTCCCATCTTACTGCGCATTGCCTCCACTCCCGATCTCCTCATTTCCTTCAGTACCTTCATCCTGACCATTCGTTCTTTTGACTGCACTGTTGCCAACCCCATGCTCCTGTACCTGAAAATAAGAAAACAATTCTGCTGTCAAATGATTTGTTTTCTTTGTATATTGTTTATGCTGAATACAGGGGAAGCATCAATCGACTCAATCCAAATTCTTTTTTAAAAACTACAGACAAGACCCACAAACCTTGAGGCTAATGCAGCTGTAATAGCGGCACCATTCGCAGGTGATGGGCGCAGTTTTTGGCGATAATAGCGCAAGTACTCCCGGGAACCAAGTGTTTTGGATGATATACCATCATCGGATCTTCTAGTAATGATGAGCTCAGAGCCACCACTCCCAAGTTCTACACTGTTGGCCATATCACCGGATACAACCAGTTGTTTGCCAGCCTCATCCACATAACTGAAAACCGAGAGAAGAGCAGTTCAGCTAAGATATTCCAACATGTATAGAAGCAAAGTAATACCTAGAACACATTAACGTGACCAAATAGCCATAAACAGAATTAAATAAACGCAACGTATGGGAAGGACAAAACCTGCTGCTGTAATCATAGAACTCTTCCAACTCAGCTTCTTCTTCATCGTCGTCATCGCCATAATGTACCTTGCAGTGGCTTTTGGCCACCATATGCTTCCTAACCGCTTCCAAACTGTTGAAAGGATGGCGCCTATCATTGCAGTACAGACACATGAAATCCCTTTTAACCTGAAAAGTAAGACAGGAACAGCCAACGAATTACTAAAGAGAAATCCAAAACAGGAAAAAGTTTATCCAGGAAAGGAACGTAGAACATGTTTCGGTACCTTAAGACCAAGATAAGTAAGGAGGCCTTTTGGATCCTTTAGATACTCAATATCAGGAATGAAGAATCCATGGTGTTTGTGCATGTGAACCATGCAGCTCTCTAGGGTATCGTGCTCTAGATCACACATAAAGCAACAAGTTGGATCCAACTCCTCAAAGTCATCATCTTCATCCATATCCTCTTCTGATGCATGCTCATCCACATTCATATCAGTCAAAGATTTTGCCAAATCTTCATCAGGATCAACCTCCACCCACTCATCTTCACTTTCTTCAGTTTCCTCATCATTTGCCTCTCTTTTCGGGGGAGCTTTGTTAACAACACGAGGCGGAAGCGGCCTAATTATTGCCTTCTCTTCTTGTTCACTGGCCCCTTGGGAGGCCCGCAGAATGTGACTTCGTGACTTGAGATGCTCAGCATGAGCCTTAGAACTTCTATACCCTTTGCCACAAAGACCACAACTGTAGAGCATCGGGGTTTCACTCAAACTGTTTTTCTCCTGAGCAAGTGCAGCTTGTCTCGCTATAAATAACGCTTCTGTCACTCCAGGAACCCCAGCTATCTGATTGTTTTCAAGAAAATTTCATAACATATTAAAGCTCATCAAAACATGTCCGTCATTGAATAGGCCGGTAAACCACAAAGCAAGAATAACACATCACAACATATCAAGCGAAAACATTTCGCCAACTGAGTAGTACCAAAACAACATAATGCATAATCAATCAAAATTTAACTCAATAAAAACTCAAAATACAAGCATATTGCTACAAACTTAGTGGCAAGAATTGAGACCAAGGAACGACTAATTACGCAGAATCTATCATCCTATATGAACATGATAATAACTAAACGGAAATAGTGAATTTAAATACATATTCAGCTCAGTTTCATCAGAAATGCATACATACACTATTAACTGCTCATAAAACAACATATTACAACATCAGCAGGTCTAGAATTCAATCAGCAATCAAAATTTTCAAACATCTGTTTGGAATCAAAGATACGAACAAACAAACACGAACTTTATATTGTTCCAGAAGATTGGAATTCGTTTCCTCAATCCAGCATTTGGGAATTTCCTATCCTTCGGATTTCCCATCTCAAAATGGCAATAAATCGAATAAAAAACATCAAAAGCAAAGCAAAACCCTAGAAATTAAGCTGTAAGGAGAGAAGAAAAAGAGAGGGGACCTTGCGCTTGAGATTGTAGCGGTGCCATTCTGACTTGTAATGGAGCTTCTGCTCTGAGTCGTCCAGAAACTCCTTGTTGCAAGAGTTGCATGTTAGCCCTGACATTCTCTCTCTCTCTCTCTCTCTCTCTGTGGTTTGGGATACGACGGAGGAGGAAGGAGGCGGCGGGTGGGTTTTATGGGATCAAAGAAAAACGTGCGACGGCTCGCAGTTGGTGAAAATTGAAACGGTGTATGAAAGAGAAGAGTGTCGTCCACCAGCCACCAGGTGTTTGATTGCGCAAGCTTCAGCTTCAGGGAAGGCGTATCCCAAATTCAACCCCCATGGGCCTGAGTTTTGGCCCATTAGTCATATTTGGGCTCACGTGTTTGAGGCCCAATATCATGAAAGCGTTAAATGTTTGCTCTCGTGATTTTTCTAGTGATGGAAATAAAACATTTGAACTTGAGATATTTTTTTCAATGTAAAAAGGGAATACATGTGTAGCTGTTGGAGGGAGGAATTGAGATTTTTCCTACTCCAAAACATTTTTCATTACTTGTATTTAATTGGCAAAGCTGTCCTCAAACCATCTAGTAGTAGTGACATGAACACTTCTACTACCTCCTTGATAGCGGGAGGAGGCGTTTCATTTTGGTATCGGAAACTCATTCTAATGTACGAAATATGTATGGATAGATCCTCACAACATTGACTTGCACCTGAGTTTCGTATAACATTAAGCACAATCTCAAACAGTCTTATTTTATAGAATATTGTTCCAACACTTTGGACGTTTGAATCATGGAATGTCTAGAGCATGACTGGATTTGTATGTCACACTCACAAGAAAGATACCCAAACTCTTTTTCAACCATCATTAAAATAAAATGGTCGTCTCAAAAAAGTGAAACAAAATGTTTATAAATTTCAAGTTGGAATCATTCCCGACTTAATGAAATAAACAGATACACTTTTTCGACCAATTATCTTAATCTACATATATCATATGCCAATTTAACTCAAAATCCAAAATGATACCCGAATTTAGATTTATTGTTCTTTTAAAATTCTTCAATAATCTAAAAAAAATTCACAATTACAAATCACTGACAGACCAATTTGCAAAACAGTCCTCACCAACATGTCATAACCACACGAAAACGACATTAGAGTCCCAAGAACGACGACATTCATCATCACGAATCTATCCGAGAAGCACTCCTCCAAAATCCGGCACCGTGAAACCGGTCCCATATCTCCTTCTCCAACAACTCAGCGGCTTCAGATTCATCCTCGCTCCCCTTCCCGTCGTCGACGTCGCCGTCGCCGTCGCTGTAACTGCTCGCTTTCCTGAAGAAGTCGTCGTCGTCGCTATAAAGCCCGCCGCCGGCGAGCCCATTGGGCCTGGGCTGCAACAGTGCCTTCCTGTGGGCCGCCAAGCACTGCCGCTTATTCTTCCTGTGGGCCAAGGCCTTCATGCAAATCCCTTTCGGGACCTTGTACACAGTCAGTATCAGCAAATTCATCACGCTGCACGGGCAGCAGCAGCACACCGCCGCACACTCAGCCGCGGCGCCGCCTGCCACCTCGCCGACCCTGCGTCTCTCGCGAGGCGGAGGCCGGGTTAGCGGTGGCGATTGAAGCAAAGCATCCCGCGTCATCCCCGAGTCGAATCGAAGAGGATATTCTAGATTGATCGGGAATTGAAATTGTTGGAAGAAGGGGTCAATGGAGATGTGGAGGCGATTGGGAATTTTGCGGATTCGTTGTGTTTCAGGGGGAAAGATAAATTTCCCCAGAAAGCTAGAGAATCCAAAACCCAAAATTCAGAGAGAGAGAGGGGACGACAAATGCGAATGGATGGAGAGAGAGACAGAGAGGGAGACAGCGAAACGGACGGGAGACAGATCAGGAGAAGAGAGCGAAACGGACGGGATCCAGGGAGCGAATCTTTAGGCAAAATCGTAATTTTCTTTAAGAATCACTGGTATAACTTTTATTTTTAATTTAATTTTTTCACCCTTTTATTGGTGAAAAAAATGTTACTTTTTTAATTTATTTTTTTATCACACAAAAAAACGATAGACTCTCACCACAAAAACATACAGTGTTCATACATACAAAATAGGTAAGCATATACTAATATGGTCTTAGTCAAAGTGTTAGGCTGTTTTTATAAAAAAAAGTTAAAGTGCTAGACTAATATACTTTTTTTTTACACTTAAGTTTGAATTTTAATAAATAGATAAAAAAGACTGATAT